ACTTATCGCTGCACCCCCTTTTCTTCTAGGTGGCCATATTGTGGTGATCATTCCCAGTTAAAATGTCTCATCGGAGTGGGCAAGAGGACCCAGAGCGCTACCTGTTTGTGGACCGGGCTGTGGTTTACAACCCAGCCACACAGGCTGACTGGACGGCCAAGAAGCTAGTGTGGGTCCCCTCCGAGCGCCATGGCTTTGAGGCGGCGGGTATCCGAGAAGAGCGTGGCGAGGAAGTGCTAGTGGAGTTGGCAGAGAATGGTAAAAAGGTGGTGATCAACAAGGATGACATCCAGAAGATGAACCCACCCAAGTTTAGCAAGGTGGAAGACATGGCTGAACTCACCTGCCTGAATGAGGCGTCTGTGCTGCACAACCTGAAGGACCGCTACTACTCTGGACTCATATATGTGAGTGACTTAGACCTGGAGCCTTCAAAAGGTTCTTTTTTTTTCTTAACAGTTTACTGTAAACTCAACACACTGGTGGATGGTTGACCTCAAAATTATTTCTCTGGCTGTTCTGCTCGTTGCAGGCAGTTGTTTCGTTTTTAGTCACCTGTCTTACAGTCTTGGTTAAAAGTGAGATCTGATATTCATCCATCTTTGTTTAGGGAAAAAAGCAGCTCATCTGAGTGACTCATGACCACACAAACACACTCACATATTTGCACACAGAATGACTGACAGAGCTCTGTGGTCTTAAGTGCCATAACTTCCCTCTCACCTTGGCTAAAGACAGACCTTTGCCATAAACCTTGCTGGTGTCAACCTAACCCCCACATTCCTTTATTTTAGCTGTTTCTCAGATCACAAAACAACCCTATCAGTTCAGTTTTTCTCATCCACATGGCCATTTTTTAAAAATATATGACACATGTAGACCAGTCAGGAAAATCTCTGGTGTCTGTATAACTAAATGTTTTGTAGTAGTGAATTTTTACACAGAGTCTGGAGTGGTCTCTATCACTGCATCGCTTCTGTCCCCATAATCCAGTTTCACCACAGATGAAGCAGCTCTGTGACGAGATCTTGACCCATTTAGTGACATGTTTACCAGGAATAGAATGTGGGTTAGTTTTTACCTGAGAGACTGTGGTTCGGGCGCTGCTGGGTGACTCGTTGCACTTATAAATGAGCCTTTCATCCAACAAGACGTGATAAAGTGAATGCAGCAACGCATTGCAATCGTCAAATGCTTAAAAATATTATTATAATTTGCCGCTACCAAAATGGAAGAAAGCATTTCAGCAATTTCCCATATGGCTTGAATTTCCATGTCATTCCACCAGCTCCCTCTTCAGTTTCTTCCTAATACCATGGTGTCATGGTTTCTGTTTTTTTCTGGGTTCAGAATTGGCTTTGGTGCTTGTTAATTGTCCCCTTGCCTAAGAGAAATTGAAAACATATGTCTGACTGTGTTGGTTTTCTAAAAGGAAGGGAATTTTCTCCTGTTTAGCTCACTGTTAGAAAAAGAAGCCCCTTGTGCTTGAAACTTCTTTCCAGTGTGTTTGACTTACCCCCCAGAGCTCTGATATATCTACTGCAGACATAATATAATGCCTACCCCAAGGCTGTGCTTTGAATTGAGATAATTGGAAAGACCTCTGTATCTGAGTCATAATATGATTCTGCAAGTCTTTTACAAGTTGAGGTCTGTACTAACTGTTTTTCTAAACCTGTGAAATATTTTTATAGGTTTGCCTTTAGGACACAATTACTGTTTTCAGTAACCTAATATTAAAGTGACTCTGTAGTTTGGTCTACCTGTACTTAGAAGACCTATGTTGATAATCCCCAATATCACAATCCACATTCTAGCAGACAATGCAGGTTGTTGTGTATGTTTATACAGTACATG